GACCCCAAAATATTCTGATTTAATCAGGCTAAGGTGCAGACTGGGCACCAGAAGTTTTAAATAGCTATTTAAATATGTAGCCAGATTTTAAAACTCTGCCTGGTCTACATTTACTAAGCTCAAAATAGTTTTTATCTGACAGTTTTGCCACAGTATCTTATTATCAGTGTTCTACTGGGTCTCCTAAATAGCTACCAAAATACAATCAGATTAGTAAAAACTTACAGTAAGTACATGAGGCTTTTAGTCACTGAATTACTTCATAGTCAGTCTAGGAAAAAGGTCACTCACTGCTTCAAGGGATTCCTTATGTGAGTCTGGGGTTCCTCTACTATGATTCCCCATGGCCTGGATTAATATCAAAACTTTTCTAAATAAATCCACAATTGATTAAACACACCTACAAATTAAGAAGAAAAAAAAAACAAGAAGAAAATGTTCAAAGAACATTAAAATTGTTTAACAAAAGAAACAAATGGCAAAAACGATTTTTCAAGATCACTAGTGAACAAAATAATGTAAACTAGCCCTTAAGCTGCTATTCTTCCATCAAAGATTTTTCAAAACTAAATACCTAATACATAACTAAATACTAATACATAAATACTCAAACTCCTAGAAGCAATAAACTGAATATTTTTTACTTATTTTTTAAATTTTTGTTTATTTTTATGTGTATGAGAATTTTGCCCATGTGCATATAAGTGCACCCATGTCATGCAATGCCCATAGAGACCAGAAGAGGGTATCTGATCCTCTCAAACTGGAGTTACTGATGCTTGTTAGCCAGTGGGTGCTAGGAACCAAAACCAGTCCTCTGCAAGAGCAGTCAGTGCTCTTAAGTGCTGAGCCAGCTCTCCAGCCCCTGAATATACATTTTTTAAAACAGTATTATCGTATATGGTTAAGAGCCCTAAATATTTATACCCTTTACTCATAATAGCAAAGTATAAAAACAGCCCAAATGACAAAATGTAGGGAAGTTATTTTTATAGTTAGCTCAACATCCAAATAATCTAGAGAATATTTAGTGTGTTGGTTAAAGATTTAAAATGTGCCTGGCATGTTGGTGTATGCCTTTAATCCCAGCACTTGAGAGGCAGAGGCAGACAGACTTCTGTGAGTTCAAGGCCAGCAAGCTACAGGGAGACCTTGTCTCAAAAAGAACCCCCCCAAAAAAAGAAAAAAAAATGTGATGCTATGGGAAGGCAGAATCATACCCAGTATGATAAATCTTGTTATGTATTATAAAAGGTAACACACTAAAGTGTTAAAAAGCCTGGAATTATGGGTAACTTAATTCATTATTTTTAATTTATTATTTTATTTTTTTTTTTTTGAGATAAGGTCTCACTGTGTGGTCCTGACTGGCCTAGAATTTGCTATGTAGACCAGGCTGGCCTTAAACTCAATGCCTCCTAAGTCATGGGATTAAAGGTGTGCACCACCATACCTGGTTCTATTTTCATTTTTTAAATTATGTGTAGTGTGTGTGTGTGTGTGCGCACGTGCACGTGCACACGTGCCTATGTGAGGGTATATGCAAATGAGTGTAGATGATCAAGCTATCTCTCAAGTCCTGCATTTACTACTTAAAAAAAAAAAAAAAAGCTTAATTCCAGGCAAAAATTAATTGATCCAGCATAATTATCACAGAAAAATTTGCTAGGCAAGATGATAATTTGCCATGATGCATTTGAATGCATAAATATGTGTGGTGAATAATGGGTGTATAGACGCTGACTTTACTGGGACTGATCTGGTTTGACCTAATGTGAATTAAGAATTCAGGTGAACTTAGCTGTCCTCAATAAACACTCTGATATTCTCCAAAAGAGACAAATCAGCTGAGACAACTGACTCTTACCTACTATGATGGGCACTCTATAGAACCTCATGCTGAAAAGGCATTTATAAGACCATTAGACTACACAAAAGTACACCATAATAGCCAAAATGAGATGATGCTACCAAGGTTCACTCTATGCTAAGTGTTAATGAAAAGCAAGGGTTAGAGGAAAAACATTCTCCTGCTTCCCATATACACTGAAGCACATGTCCACTCTGAGAATTAATTCCTTAAATTGAATGAGGTCTAATGCCATTACTCGTATTAACTAAAATCAAAATTCCTCCAACAACAGATTTTACAGAGCTAATCTACAGAGTGATTTTACAGAGTAACTGCCCCCCTCTGAAAAATAATATTCTAATCAATAACTAGAGAAAACATAAAACATACAAATGTTCCAATCATAAAACTGCAAAGATAATATATAAAGCATACCAAACACTCTATAAATAAACTAGACATTTGATAAAAAGCCTTGAATACTTGAGATAACTACCACATAGCATTTTTCTATTGATTAACTATAAAATACTATAAATTTATTATAAAATCTCAAAGTCCCCCAAATGAAATTACTGACAGATTATCATTATGTCCCTCCAAACAGTTAAAGGATTCATAGAGTTTCAAAAACTTCCAAAAAATGGTAAATGCCAATACTAAGCTGCCTATCAGTTACCTGATTTTTTAAAAAATTTCATAAATACCTGTTGCCCAGATAGCAACATAAACCAGTAAGCCTGATAATGCACAGTATTGGTCTCCATCATCATCTGTGCTTTTTTAAAAGTAAATACACTAACTTTTACACTAACTTAAATTACTCGACATAGAGTATAATCAGGGTATTTCCTTCAACATTTAAGTTATGGCCAAACAAAAGCTTATAAATAAAGCATTTTCAGAATTACTACAGTGATTTTACCTTGATGAAATAGCATTGTAAAAAACCATTTTTACTGTTTCAATTGCTTTCCATTCTGTGTAAATAGCTGGATTCAATTTTCAACATCCAAGAGAGTCTTAGGCACATTCCATTTAAGTTCATCTGAAAGTCCATGTTGCACTCAAGTCGGTTCATAAAACAACTTTTCGACAACTGCTCTTGCTATAAGGTTGAGAGTGCCTCCCTTTGCCAAAGTCATAATGTAACTCAGGAAATTTAAAAATATATATCTGTTACATCAGAAATGCACAAGGTCACAAGTTTTCAGAGATAACAATATGAACAGTTGACCTGAAATTTCTTGTATTTAAACATTAGGTAGTTCAACATTTACTGCTTCACATAATTACAAAAAATAAAAATAAAAAAAAAACATTTATGCCTGTCCCATGTAGATAGTACCACCATCTCCTCCCCCCCCAAAAAAAACTGCGTGCACAACACAGTCATTGTATATCTTCAACTACCATTTGATTTTCCACAAGTACCTTAGAAACCCCTACATCTACTCTCAAGGCCAAAAACTTACTAAGTGGTATAAAAAAATAGAAACTATAGATTCATGTTAATATATCTTAGTGTTTGATACAGTAAGATATCTCAGAAGAGATAGTAAACAGAACACCGTTGTTTCAGAAGTCTTAATGGTTCTGATAGTCAGATATGAACAAACCACACCTAATCCACAGACTAAGCCAAACAAGAAGAATGCCCGTTAAGACATTACTCATTTCACCTCTACAATGAGATTCTATCTTTAAAAAGAACTTTATTCACCCACCTTCTCTCTTTCCATAAAAAGGCAAAGTGTTGGGGTAGTTACAAAAAAAAACTAATTATAAATAGAGTTAAGTACTATGTCAAGAGAGCCATCATAAACATGATTAATAGATTAGAACAGGATATAATACACAATTTTATAGGTATTAATAAAGCTTCCTTTAAAAGATCATTAAATATAAATAGCTAGAATGTGCCTTAGAACAACCCAAAAGTCTACTTCTTTCATTTAAATCTCCTTCCTGATAGTTTTAATACAAAAAACTTCTAAAGGAATTCAATTGAGATATTATCACAGGAGAAAAAGCATTTTTAAACACTGTTTAAACTCATATTTAATATATGGAAGAGACACTGTTAAATTGAACGCCTGTAAAGTACTTGTTAAGTCAATCATTCTTACTATTGGGTTTAATGGTTAGGTATAGATGAGTTAATCAATATGATTTTTCTTGAAATATCCTTTATCAGCAATATGTTACCTCATGAATAAACAGAAAAGTAGAAAAAAAGTCACCTATAAAGCTTTAGAAAACCAAAACTTCCCCTCTTTAATGAAGAAATAAACAATGTTGTCATGACCTTTGAACAAATACTTAACAAAAGTTCCTAATCATATAATTCAAGACTTCAATAATGAGAACTCTCCACCTAAGAATCATTCAGATACCATCTTTCTTCCATTATGAAATCTCAAGACTGCCTTTGTAGCACACAGTATGAGATATGGTGATACGGGGGAAGCAGACATGTCAAACATGGAATATACTACAGACCCTTATACTCATGACAGCTGGAGCAAGCAAATTTCCAACAAATTTTTTAAAGCTTGGGGGATTAAGGAGAATTTTTTTAAAACATTCTTTATGAGTGACAAGTTAAGATTTTAAAATGTGCAATGTGGGTAACTAGCTTATTCACTAAACCTGGGGGAAAACACACAAAACTATTGTAAGAGGAACAGTTATTAGAAAGCTTTCAGGAAAGAGAATGTATCGTTTCAGACACCGTAAAGCTCAAGTGCAAAGGCTCTATAGTAAAGCAAGGTGCCTATTCCTGAGGAAACATACACACTGAGTAAAAATGCTGAACTGTGAGGATTCAATCTAAGCAGTGCTAAAAAGGCAATGTTGGGAGTTCAGAATATGTTACAGAGAAAGAGACCCGGGAGAATTCCATTACTTAAAAATAATTTTGTCCCTATCATTAACCACTTAATGTTTTTGCTGATGTGCTAAAATGCACTCGCAACTCAGAACAGGTTTGTTTTTAAGTTAATCACGTCTGGTTAATAGACTGCAGTCTTCAAATTTATAGAGGGCTGCAGGTCTCCTGGATTTTTTTCAAGTGTCATCTAACTGAGCCTGACAGCCAAGGAAGGCCATCAAGTGCTTTAGAGTCAGTTTAAAAAACATCCTCTACCTGGTATCTCTGCAGTGATTGTCTTGCTGCTCCCTGAAATCTCTTCATCATCATCGGATGAGCTCGTGCTTGAGTCACAAGTCAGGTCACTATCACTGGTGCTACTGTCCTGCAGAAGGTTGTACTTCTTCCTTGCTGCAGCCTCCCGCTTCTGCCTCAGTAGTCTGATCCTCTCCTTGTGCTTTTGGCTCCGGTGACCTTTAACCTTGGTGACTCGGCCATTCTGCTTGTCACTGGATTGCCGGTTTTTCTTGGCAGCCATAGTGGATGTTTCACTTTCAGAACGGGAGCGCCTAGACTTGCGCCCAATGGTGGCACCAGACACTCCTGAAGGATCTCCTTCTACTGCTGCTTCTGCTTGAGAGGGTTCATTCTCTTCTGCAGAAGACAGAGTATCTGAGTCAGCCAGGTGACCACTAGAGGAAGGGGAAAGCATGCAATGATTAGAGGAGTCACTCTCATAAACTCGGCCAGTTGTTGGCTTGTCACTCTCTGTGGACGCTAACTGAGACTCTGAAGAGTCCCTTCTCAGTTCCATCAACAAGCAGGGCATTGAAGAAAGAACTGTAGAGTCAGCTACACCATCTTTCGGAACTTGAGATTCCAGTTCTACAGAGCCATCTTCCTCCTTGGCTGTCTCTTGTTCAGAGGTCTTTGGTGCGACTTCAGACTCAATGAGTTCTTCCACTTTTCCCACTGCCTCCTCCATCTTCATTTCAGAATTTCAAGTTAAATCATGGAGCACAGTCTAGGAAACGATATCAAAGACGCAACAGGAAAGCAGCCTGTATGAAAACACACAAAATCAGTGAACAGAAATGGAAAACTATTTAAGCTATACAGCATGCCTATTTTTCTGAGTAGCAAAAGTTACCATTTACGTGGGCCTTTAAAATACTATGTGTCCATAATCTGCTTAATTAACAAATTCAAAAGATTTGATACCAGCAAAATCCTAACAGCCTCAGTTACTAAAAACAGTACCCTATTAATCGTCTACTGCTGTAATTACAGGCAATAACAAAAGATTCTCAAGTTTAGAACTTTAACTAGGGTTGGGAATGTAATTCAGTAGTACAGTGCTTGTTCAGGATGTAGGATGCCCTCAGTTCAATCCCCAGTAACAAAATAAAGATTTTAAAATAGGGGCTGGAGAAATGGCTCAGCAGTTAAGAGCACTGACTGCTCTTGTAGAAGACCCAGGTTCAATTCCCAACACCCAAATAGCAGCTAACATCCATCCATAACTCCAGATCTAGGAGATCCGACCCTGCCTTGTGACTTCTGACAGCACTGCACAACACGGGTGCACTTACATGCAGGCAATATACGCGTATACATAAAATAAAAATAAAAGCAATAAATGAGATTTTTTTTTTTTTTTTAAGAAGAATCTGAGCTGGAGAGATGGTTCAGCGGTTAAGAGAACTGTCTACTCTTTCATAGGACCTAGGTTCAGTTCCCAGCATCCACATGGCAGCTAACAACCATCCATAACTCCAGTTTCAGGGGATCCAACACCCTCTTCTGACCTCCACAGGCACTGCATGACATGGGAGCACTTACATGCAGGCAACACACTCATACACATAAAAAAAATAAAATATTTTTTTAAAAAAGAATTTAGCCAGGTGTGGTGGTGCACATCTTTAATCCCAGCACTTGGGAGGCAGAGGCAGGCAGATCTTTGTGAGTTCGAGGCCAGCCTGGTCTACATAGTGAGTTCCAGGACAGCGGGGGCTACAAGGAGACCCTGTCTCAAAAAAGACAAAAAGGAAAAAAAAGAATTTAAAGTACTCAAGAAAACAATCTTTGAAAAACTATAATTAATACATGTACTTGACTTTAGTATAAATGAAAAGAATGCTAAAAAATTAGACTAGTCTGGGTATTGAGAATATAGTTCAGTTGGTAGAATAATTGCCTAGCATACACAAAGGCCTGGGTTCAGTCCCCAGCACTGCATAAAACTGGGCATAGTGGTTCATGCCTGTAATGTCAGCACTCAGGAGGTAAGAGCAAGAAAATTAGAAGTTCAAGGTCATCCTTGATACATAGTGTGTTTCAGACCACCCTGAGGTACATCAGACTCCATAGCAAAAAAAAGGAACCAAAACCAAAAGAAAAAAAAAGTAAGAAGACTATGAGCTAGTACATGCCTGGAATTCTAGCTACTTGGGAGGCTGAGATACAAGAATCCCAAACTCAAGGCCTGCTTGGGTAACTTAGGGAAACCCTGTCTCAGAACTGAGGATATAGTTCTGTAGTAGAGTGCTTATATAACATGTACACCACCCCATACATACATACATACATACACACACACACACACACACACACATACACACACACACACACACACACACACACACACAAACTTGGGCAACATTATAGCTATGATTACTTTTATACTCAATTTCTTTAAAAAAGGGAAGAGATTGAAAAAGGGAGAAATATCAGAGTTGGAGAGATGGCTAAGTGGTTAAGAGCACTGGCTGCTCTTCCAGAGGACCCGGGTTCGATCCCCAGCATCTACATGGCAGCTAACAACTGTTCAAAACTCTAATTCTAGGGGAATCTGACACCCTCTTCTGACCACTGTAGGCACTACACAACACGGGTTCACCTACCTATATGTAAGCAAAACACTCATACACATAAAAAAAATCTAATATTTTTGAAGGGGACAAATATCAAATGTGTTGTTGAGATTTCTTTTTTTTTGTCTTTTTGAAGCAGGATCTCCCTGTAGCCCCAGCTGTCCTGGAAGTCACTATGTAGACGAGGCTGGCCTTGAACTCACAGAGATCTGCCTGCCTCTGCCTCCCAAGTGCTGAGACTACAGGCGTGCGCCACCACGCCCCTACAGGGTGTGTATGTGTGTGTGTGTGTGTGTGTGTTTATGTACATGCAAGTGCTCATGTGTATGTGCATACGGAAGCCAGATGACAACTTCAGGCATCATTCCTCAGGAGCCATCCACCTGTTTTTGAGACAAGGTCTCTCACTGGCCTGAAGATGGCCAATTACACTAAGCTGGCTAGCCAACAAGTCCTAAGAATCCACCTTTCTCTACCTCCCTAGCACCTGGATTTTTATGTGGATTCTAGGGATTAAAGTCAGGTCCTCTGAATGAGCTATTGCCTCACTGCCCCACCCCACCCCCCACATACACTTTTTAAAAAGTTTCAACTACATGCAACAAAAGTAATTATATGTATCAAACCTGTCTACAGTCCCCTCAGTAGAAGCTGTTCTGGAGGAGAATTAAGAGAAAAGGCCAGCTGGGCATGGTGGCATACCTCTATAATCCAGCACTTGGAAGGCTGAATTAGAACTGAGATCTGGCCATCAGCTTGAGCTATATAGCAAGATCCTGTCTCAAAGGTCAGATTTTGCTTTTCCCTCAGTTTGACCACTGAATATAAGCCTAGTGTCAGATGCTTTGTTTCATAAACAGTCACTAACACATTATTTTGTGAACCCAGGAAACTCTATGAATGAATTCAAGAGATTTAAGAAAAACATCCTACAGAGCCTAGCTCTGTTCTCAGCTGTGGATAAAATGGGCACTACCATAGTTTTCTTAATAAACTCAGGAAAACCAAAATATTTGTACCTACTAGAGCACTTATTAATTTAAAACATCCCTGTGTAGCCTGCTTCATACACATTTGTATTACTACTAATGTTTTCGTTTGTATGAGACAGGGTCTCCCTGTAGCCCCAGTTGAACTGGAACCTGCTATGTAGACCAGGCTGGCTCACAGAGATTTGCTGGTCTCTGCTTCCCAAGTGCTGGGATTAAAGGTGTACACCACCATACCTTTTTTAATTAAATGAAATAAGGCATAAATGCTTTTCCTAACAGTTACAAAAGAAATAACACTACTGAAAGCCAACAAAGGGAGTGAAGGTTAAATCAACAAATTGGAAGTGTCACAAATGGATTATGCTAACAATATAAGCAGGAAATAAAATAATTGTATGTAGATATAACATACCCTTGGGTAAAAAAATAAGGCCAAATTTTGGTGATAAACATGAGAGTTGGAAGGGGGGCTGGACAACACTTACTGCTCTTCCAGAGAACCCAAGTTCAGTTCCCAGCATCTACATGGCAGCTAATACCCATCCTTAACTCCAGTTCTAAGGAAATAGATGTCCTCTCCTGGCCTCTGAGGGTATCAGGCATGCATGTGGCACACTAACATACATTCAGCCAAAAACACTGATAAAAATAAATTAAAATCTTAAATTTAAAAAAAAAGAGAGTTCAAAGTCATCCCTGTCTATATAGTGAGTTCCAGCCCAGCCTGGGATACACAAGAAGATGTCTCTACATATATACATACATACATACATACATACATAGCACCTCTCTGACGGCCAGCTCTCATAGTTTTGGAGAACACTATGCAAGCTGCTAAAGACCATCGATTGATGGTTCAACCCCAGCTTTAAGGCCTAATGACCCCCTGCGTCCCTGTTCAGCATGGAAGAAGCCAGAGTGGTCTGCGTCTCTATTCCCTATTGGCAATTTGGGTAACCCCTTCAGAGGATGGCATGATAAGAATAGGAGGTAGGAACTGGCTAGGCAGTTAGGGTAAAAAGACCCCAAAGAAATGTAGCCAGTTTCTTGTCTAAAAGTCAAAATATCTTTGGGCCTGTTAGCAACATATTGTGTTCCAAAGTCCAAAACTGGCAAAAGTATTTGGGAGCTTGTATCTAATCCTTAAAAGATTTTAGGGTTACCTCTTCAGAGGAGGGAATGTTGGAGGGGAGGGAGTGAGCATGGATTTGATCAAAACACCTTATATTCATGTATGAAATTCTCAATAAAGTTTTTGTAAAAATTTAAAAAAAGAGTTAAGTGTTGCATCATCAAAATAAAATTAAGTATAACAATAATACATAAAGATGTAAAAAAAAAAAAGGCCTAATAACCACAACAATGACTGCACAGCAAACTATCGGGGCAGTAGTGGAACATTTATATTGGGAGTAATCAACAGCTACCTAATTGGACCTAAAGCCCACACAATGGGAGGGAACTCATGTGTAGTACTGTAAATATAACCAAATACACATGGCTGGAGAGGTCACAGATCTTAGAGAAAACCCCAAAGCTGTTATACCCCTAGACAAATGGAATTTCTTACTATGTGCTAAATATGGATCCTTATATTTATAGACAAATATGTCAGTCACTACTTATCAAAGCTTTTTTGCAATAGACAGAAGCTATTATAGAGTTCTACAACTGGTCACACACAGATTAAGTGTCTGTGAAAAGCCCAACTCTAAGCGACACATCTACAATGGAACCTCTATACCTATGGCTCACAGAACATAGTGGAACAAGGGGTAGAACCAATACTAATGCATCTCTCAACTCTCATCAACAAACTTCCCTCATGCAACAAAGGGCAATGAACCCAGGGCTCAGGGACCACTGCAGAAAAGGAGGCAGAAAGACTGAAAGAGCCAGGGAAGGAGGTGCATGACTATATAAAAATAGTCTTATAGGTTCCTGGGACCTTGCTCATATGAACTTACAGCAATAGTGACAGCATGCACAAAACCCATGCAAACTCAAGCAGACAAAAACCCAACATAGAACTGTGGAAATGGGCAGCAGGCCCACATCTTAGCCAAAGAACCACTGAGCAGCTGATTACTACTGCGTGAGGGAGAGCTGATCTTCTTTAAGGAGGTGACTCTAGATAGGCTGACTAAACCCCAGTGAATGAACCTGCACTAAGAGACATCAGGAGACAGTTGA